AGAAAGAGGTTCAAAAATATAATAATCCTATTCTAGAAATTGTACAGGGTACTTATGAATTAAAAAAAAAATTAAAAACTTGTGAGCTTTCTCAAGGCCGCTAGGAGCTTTATTGGCTTAGTTTCTATTTTAATTCTATGCAATCATTCTTAGAGTTTTCTCACCCATATTCAGAATGCTCCATTCCTTTGCCGTGGGCTGGGATAGGCTGATTGGTAAGGCACTGGGCCTATGTCCAAGAGGTCGTGGGTTCGATCTCCGCCGACCGAAGACTCCCCGTGTAGTAAATGGTGACTGATACATGTTAAATCTATTGAGTCTAAAAGGCTTCCATGTTCCCATAACAAATCATACCTCTGGGGGTACTGATCCAGGAGTTTCCTCGAACCAGGAGATTGGTTCGAAATTACAAGGCTACGGAGTTGGACATTAGTAGTCGTAAACCCCAAAATTGGGTCGGCTGTTCAACGACGATTATAATCCTTTTGCCATCAGGCTATCCGTGGAAGATTTTCGTGGTTTTCCTCTCAATGCAACTCAAATGTTGGTTAGTTCCCTCAAAAAATCCACCACCAAGACTAATTTGTTACACTGTTTGATTCAGGAGTTCCTTTGTCTTCTGGGTTGGATTCAAAATAAAAACTACGGAGTTAAACATTGGTGGTCGTAAACTCAGAATTGGGTCAGATGTTCCGCGCCAGTAATAAAATAAAATTAAATTATCAGAGTTGTAAAAACTTAAAAGTACAAATAAATTCATGTCTTTTAATAATAAGGAAATTAATAATATAATTTCGAAAATTCCTTTAATAATATTCGAAAGGAAAACGAAGAAGTATTATTATTAGGGGTAAGCAAATTAATATTTATAATAGAAAAAAAAAAATACACTAACAAAATCTTAAATAACTATTGAGGAAGGCAGTTTTAGAAAACATAAATACCTGTTAGATTGCTGAAGGTAATTGAGAGGAGTTGAAAGACGATTGTCAGAAACAGCTTCAACCAACAACCAAACGGGTTATGTTCGATTGTTGATTGAAACTGATAGTGATTTGTGAATGATAATAGAGTTTTTCATCGCTCAACTTTGACACAAACAAAATGGCGTGTCAAAGTTGAGCTAATTTTAATTAAAATGTTAATTGACGTGAAATTAATTAAATACAACTCCGTATCGCACATTGAATTTGTTGAAATAAAATTCTTTCTTAGATTTATTATTTGCTTATGCATTTTTTTGTAATACGTAATATATTTGTGTTTTGTGTACCTGGCAACTTCGATGCATAATTAGCTTGTTTAATTTTTACATGGCTTCGTGCCTGTCTCAGTGAAGTAAGAATTGAAATCATTGTGGAAGAAGCTTTGTGAAGGATTATAGAAAATGTATCGCTTAAAACAATTGATACTTGACGGGGTAAGTTAAGTCGAAATAGAATGGAAAGAACAGTTGCTAATGTTAGCAAATCCACTTTATAACAACCAATCAGGATCGGGATACCCACACTACGCCACTAGCAGGTTTCCCTTTGACACCATAATCACAAATAAGTAAGGCAGAGTCATAAAAAAATCAGGCTAACAAAAGCAACACATAAAGATCAAACAAAAAGGATGGACGATAATTTTGGAACTTCTTGGAGTTGATAGTTTTCCAGACTGAGTTTTTTTCCTTTCAACAGCTTGCATTTTTAATGTTTTTATATAACCCTAATTTAAAATATTTTTATGTTCTTTTGATGATTAACTTATTTATAATTGCTTTCTTGAAGGCGATTTTATTATAAATATGAATACTGAAGAAGGAATTTTAGCAATTTATGACTTATGAAGAAAAAGAAAAAAAAGTTTGACCAATATGGATTTCAGGGATAGAGCGCTTGCCTCCCACTGAGATGATCCGAGTTCAATTCCAGCGATAGCTGGTTGATTCAAATTCCGCACCCGACTCACACCGACCACAATGCTGACCTAAAATATTCTCAATGGTAGACAGATCGTGGGTTAGAGTCCCCTTGCCGTCAGGCTAACCGTGGAAGGTTTTTGTGGTTTTCCTCTCCATGTAAAGCAAATGCGGGTTAGTTCCATCAAAAAATCCTCCACGAAGGCAAATTTCTCCCAATACTTGATCCAAGAGTTCTTTTGTCTTCTGGATTGGGTTCAAAATTACAAGGCTCCAGCGTTGGNATTCCTTTGCCGTGGGCCGGGATAGGCTGATTGGTAGGGCACTGGGCCCATGTCCAAGAGGTCGTGGGTTCGATCTCCGCCGACCGAAGACTCCCCGTGTAGTAAATGGTGACTGATGCGCGTTAAATCTATTGATTCACAAAATCCTCCATGTTCCCATAACAAGTCATACCTCTGGGGGTGCTGATCCAGGAGTTTCCTTGTCTTCTGATTGATTCCAAATTACAAGGCTACGGAGTTGAACATTAGTAGTCGGAAACCCCAAAATTGGGTCGACTGTTCAACGACGATTATAATTCCTTTGCCATCAGGTTAACCGTGGAAGATTTTCGTGGTTTTCCTCTCAATGCAACTCAAATGTTGGTTAGTTCCCTCAAAAAAATCCACCACCAAGACTAATTTGTTACACTGTTTGATTCAGGAGTTCCTTTGTCTTCCGGGTTGGACTCAAAATAAAAGCTACGGAGTTGAACATGGATTGGCGTTAACTCAGAATTGGGTCGGATGTTCCATGCCAGTAATAAAATAAAATAAAATTATCAGAGTTCTAAAAATATAAAAGTACAAATAAACCCATGTCCTTTAATAATAACGAAAGGAAAAAGAAGAAGTATTATTAGGTTTATTATTATTAGGGGTAAGCAAAATAATATTTATAATAGAAATATACGCTAACAAAATCTTAAATAACTATTGAGGAAAGCAGTTGTAGAAAACATAAATAGTTGTTAGATTGCTGTAGGTCAGTGTTTCCCAAAGTGTGGTACGCGTACCCCCAGGGGTACGGGAACAGTTTAGCGGGGGTACTCGTTCTTATGCAAAATATCTTGCAACAAGCGAAAATTTCAAAAAATTTATATTTAAAATCAAAGCTACCCATGAAAATTTACGATTACGTATTTTTCTTTTGGCTATTTTTGGCAGAGTTAGCAGTTAATAATTAGTGGTGTAAACAGCCAGTTTTGATTTTTAACTTTTGTGCGAATTTTTTTATGGTAAAAAATAAATTCATTTGTTATTAGCGGTACACAGTGTTACGAAATATTTAGAAAGGGTACGCAAAAGTCATAAGTTTGGGAAACACTGCTGTAGGTAATACAGAGGACTTGAAAGACGATTGTCAGAAGCAGCTTCAACCAGCAACCAAACTGGTTATGTTCAATTGTCGATTGAAACAGAAAGTGATTTGTGAATGATAGAGTTTTTCATCGCTCAACTTTGGCACAAACAAAATGGCGTGTCAAAGTTGAGCTAAGTTTTTCCCTAGACTCCATGGTTTTTCCACAGAAGTTAAAATGTTAATTAAAGTGAAGTTAATTAAATACAACTCCGTATCTCACATTGAATTTGTTGAAATATAATTCTTTCTTAGATTTATTACTTGTTTATGTATTTTATTGTAACACGTAATATATTTTTGTTTTGTCTACCTGGCAACTTCGATGCATAATTAGCTTGTTTCTTTTTTTACATGGCCTCGTGCCTGTCTTAGTGAAGTAAGAATTGAAATCATTGTGAAGGATTATAGAAAATGTATCACTTAAACGAATTGATACTTTACGAGTAAGTTAAGACGAAATAGAATGGAAAGAACAGTTGATAATGTTAGCAAATCCACTTTTTAACAGCCAATCAGGATCGAGATACCCACACTACGTCACTTGCAGGTTTCCCCTTTAACATCATAATCACAAATAAGTAAGGCAAAGTCATAAAAAAATCAGGCTAACAAAAGCAACACATAAAGATCAAATAAAAAGGATGGACGATAATTTTGGAACTTCTTGAAGTTGATTGTTTTCCAGACTGAGTTTTTTTCTTTTCAACAGCTTGCATTTTTAATGTTTTTATATAACACTAATTTAAATTATTTTTATGTTCTTTTTATGATTAACTTATTTATAATTGCTTTCTTGGAGGCGATTTTAATATACATATGAATACTGAAGAAGGAATTTTAGCAATTTATGACTTATGAAAAAAAAGAAAAAAAAGTTTGACCAATATGGATTACTCGAGCCTCTGTGGTTCAGGGGATCGAGCTCTTAATTCCCAATGAGGTGATCCGAGTTCAATTCCAGCGATAGCTGGTTGATTCAAATTCCGCACCTGACTCGCACCGATCACAGTGCTGACCTAAAATATCCTCAATGGTGGACGGATCATGTGTTAGAGTCCCCTTGCCGTTAGGCTAACCGTGGAAGGTTTTTGTGGTTTTCCTCTCCATGTAAAGCAAATGTGGGTTAGTTCCATCAAAAAATCCTCCACGAAGGCAAATTTCTCGCAATACTTGATCCAAGAGTTCCTTTGTCTTCTGGATTGGGTTCAAAATTACAAGGCTCCGGCGTTGAGCATTAGTAGTTATAAACCCAAAAATTGGATCGGTCGTTCAGCGATGGTTATAAGATAAAATAAACTATGGATTACTAGTTTTTAATGTCAAGCTTAGTTTTTATTTGTTAGTAGTAAACAATTTTCTCTCTTTTATTTACATATTAATAGTACTCTTAGAAATTCTCTGCTGCCAGTATGAACATTTCGGGTGTTAGTTTGAAGATATAATTGACTATCCTATTATATGTGGACTATTTCGACCTGAACTTCATAATTCTTAAATGAAAATACAAGTTCTAGTCTGTCCATTAGATAAGATTCTCAACTATCGAACAAAAAGGATGTGCTTAAAAAGAAATCTTTCCCGGAAACATAATCTTACCTGCTCAAGACACTTCTTGAAGAAAAAAGAACTTTATATCTCTGTCCGCATACTTCCGGTCAGATCAGAAAATTTAAGGAATTCCTAAAGAAAAAAAAAGAATAAATAAAAACACCTTTTGAAATTGAAATAACGGTAATTTATGCATTGTCGTTTCTTAGCTAACTATTTCAGATGTGTGTGTGCTAGCAGCTAAGAATGCAACGTAGCAGCTTATATTTCCCTTTTCTGTTATTATTGATTTATTTGAGCTATATCGAGTAAGTATTCAGTTTCTGATCAATTAATCAATTTATTTTAGCCCAGAAATTAATTCATTTTTTTCTTTTCCTTTAGTTTTCTTCTCCTTTACAAATTTTTAATAAATTAAGTACTAAATAAAAATTCTAAGAAATAAAATCTGTGAAATTATGTTTAGTTGAATTTTATTATTGCTAACATTAGTTAGCAAAGATGTATATTGCATCATTTTTTTAAATTATAATCAATAATTTCTCTCATTTTTTAATTAATTTTTATTTTTATTCGTTTAAGCAATAATTTTTAATGTTAGAACTTCTTCTCAGTTTAGCAATAAATTCGATTAAAACTTCAATTAAGTTAAAACAGAAGAGCATTATTGATAGATTTGCAGCTGGAAGATTAAATTTTATTTTATAATTAATTTTACTCAATTCCTCACTGGCTATATGCTTTTCATAATTACGTTATTTTTTATTATTTTCACAATTTATTAATCGTAGATTCATGTTAATATAAAGATATAAATATATAAGTTTTTATTTTGACCTATAGATCTACTTTGATATTAGTCTTCTTTTTCTTCCAGAATAAATTATTTTTACATTTTTACCAGTGACTGCAAACTAAAAGATATATATATATATNGACTCTAACTCATGATCCGTCTACCACTGAGTATATATGACAAAACAATGTATTTAGATTTAATTTTAAAAAAATAGAGTGGATAATCTATTTTCATTAATTTCTGCAATGTTTGTAAATGAATGAACTTTTTACAAGAACATCTCCTGCCTAAATCTTTTATAATTTATAAGCCTAGCCTGAGCCTTTTATAATTTATTAGGCTAGCCTAAGCCTTTTATTAGAAAGCCTAGCTAAGCCTTTAATTAGAAAACTTCCGGTGTATCCCTCCGCTTAAGTTATGCTTACGAGGATATGTGTGCACAGGCTTACTAATCAAGAAAATTTTATAATTGTGATTCAAGTTTAAATTAACGTATGATTTCACCATTCATAAGAGTTTTCTATAATTTATAAATTCTAGCAGGTCGTGAGCCTAACAAAAATGTAAGAAAATTAATATCACAAAATAAAGTGAAAGGTTTGCCATGTCTTGAGTGCTATCGCTTATTTGGCTGTATTTGTGTAAAATAGCGCCGTTTGTAATTTTTTGGGTAGCATCAAACCAAGCTTGTGAAGTCTTCCGAATTCATTAGTTGTTTGTTTCGTTATAAGTTAAATGAAAAGAAAACGTTGTATTGAAACCACTACATGTATAATAATATTGAATGGGGTGTTTTTTCAAGCTTTAGCGTAAAAACCAGTAGGAGCCCGGAAGTCTTATGACGAATATTAACCCCCAGCGCCATCTGTGATTAACTTTATACGGTCAACCATCTATCGGGTTACGCTATCACGCCCCAAGGACGACAGTTTTCAGTCTTGAGTCATGATCAGAAACCAAAATAAAATGGACTACTAATATTCAATAATTTTCTTGGCTCAGTTGCCTATGAATAGAACAAAATACTTGTGGATTACGCATTTCTGTTCTTAATAAATATGCGATTTGTTCTTTTTAATTGCATATAATTTTCATGAATATTTTATTAGAATATTTCGGAAAAAACTATTTGATTAAAAGGAGGAAAATAAACAATGTCACTGATCATCATTTGAAGAATTAGTGAAATCGGAGATGACCTTCTTCCCTCACCTCAACCAACTAATGTATTTGTAGTTTCAAATTTCAAACAAATGGAAAATCGACTGATTTTTTAATAAATGTAACTATTAGATAACTAATTTTCTTTTTTTTTCTGTTTTATTTAGAAAAATCACTGCTATTGACGATGAAGATCATGAAGGTAAGTTCTTAAATATTAAAAATAATTATTATGTCACAAGATTGCTACTGCAACGGATTAAGAGCACCTAGTTCATCTTCCGTAACATAATTGAGGGCCAGTTTCACTACATGAGGTAACCGCACTTTCGGTCGCATTCGAGGGAGATTGAGAACCTGATTGTGAATGTTTTAACAGTATGGTGTTTTCCGCACTAGAGTTCCCTCTGCAGAGGATCAAAATTGTGATGGCATGTCTTCGGATCATCCTCAGGGATGTTTCCCAGACCGTCGCCAATAGCCCATTGTGCAGCTCTAGTGCGACGTAAATGAACAACAACAAAAATCCGCACGTACCCGGTGTATTTTGAGGCTATTTATCACAACTTGGTAAAAGTAAACACAATAGTTAACAAAAAGATGAAAAATAGTGAAGACATAAGTAACATAATAATGTAACATGTAGTAACATAATAATAAACATAAATATAGAAGGGTCATAAACAGGTGGTTTCAAAGGAAATAAAAGCTTAAAATTAAATTCGAATAAACATCGTTGTAACGGATAGTTAATTCGTAGCAGCAGATGGCGCTACCTCTCCATCCGCATAAACAATAACAATAGTCTTCATTCTGACTTACCAAGTGAGATGACGTAAGATGATCTACCCGAACCTACCCTGGTTCTTTTTTTCCCTAATCAGTTTGGGTAAAACTTTGAATTACTTTCTATGTTAGTTAATGTTATGTCGTTACTCTTTATTGTTAAATGAACGTGTGAATGTATAATTAAAATACTGAGCGCTCTTCGTGATGGTGTTTCTTTCCATCCCCTCGTGTCCTTACACTGTTATGTTATAAAACACTTATTGCCTTGTCAATAATGCAATAACTTTGAAATTTAAATCTAAATCTAAATGATAATTTGCAAAATAAGTTTTATCTCGCTATTCTTACTAAATAGTACTAGCATTAACGTATGCACGGTGCACTGCTTGCAGCATAAACAAATGGAAATAAACTCAAAAGAAGCTCAAACAGAACTACCAAAAAAGAGAATTTTTTCTAAATATTGCAACCATGTCGCCCTTTTTAACAATCTATCTAAATAACTCAGAGAAATTTTCACTTCTAATTTTATTTTTTTAGTAACGAAAATAACCATTTTTATTTTTGAAAAAAGGAAACTAATACAGCATCTAATATCACTATATGTAGTGAAAAAAGTGTTTAAGAAATCAAATCGAGAATNCCCCAAGATCTTGGGCACATTCATCCCCCCCCCCAAAAAAAAATTTTTGCTAACTTCCCCCTTCCATGTTAGCTTGCTCGAAATAGTGCTACTTTGCTTGCATTGCCAGTTGCTTCTTTTATTTATGTACTTAAAAAAAATTCTCTCGTCTAAATTCCCCCCCCCCAAACTATTCGTTTTATTTAGCTTTAAGTGGGCGCATCGTGCGCCCACCTTTTCCCCTGATGGGGGCCCCTGATCTAATATCACTATATGTAGTGAAAAAAGTGTTTAAGAAATCAAATCGAAAAATTTCCACCAAGAAACTGGAGTATGATAGATAAAAATCACAACCTTTGCCAAAACCATTTTTGTTCATTTCTCTCCAAAATTGACCTACCATACATTTTTCCGTTATAAGTGCATTTTTTTTTCTTTTTACATTCGAGGAATTAAACTTACAAGCAGTGATATTCTCGCGCAACGAGCGATGCTGAGAACTGCGCACTTAACTCAATCTTGGAAAAGTAATATGAATTTTAAAGGGGAAAAAGAAACTTTATTAGAAAATTTAATTTGATTGGAGTCTCTGACGTAGTTTTAAATCTAAGAAGAAAATTTTTTTTTTTTTTTTTTAATTACAATATATCTCCCGCAAAATTATAAACCCTATATGAACCCTAAATGTTGATTCGGGAGCCGTGGTAGCCCAGGGGATAGAGTTATAACCTCCCATTGCGGTGAACCGAGTTCGAAGCCCGGCGATGAGTGGTTGATTCGAATTCCGCACCCCGCTCGCACCGACCATAGTGCTGGCGTAAAATATCCTCAGTGGTAGACGGATTATGGGTTAGAGTGCCCCTGCCGTAAGGCTAACCAGGGTTCCTGGTTTTCCTTTCCATATAACGCAAATGCGGGTAAGTTTCATTAAAAAATACTTGTCATCTGGATTGGGTTCAAAATTACCGGGATACGGATTTGAACATTAGTAGTCGTAAGCTTAAATTTCAGTCTTTTGTTAAACAACGGTTATAAAACTTTTTAAAAAATGTTGATTCCAGAAGAATATGAACAAAACAAATAGCAATTGGTACAGAAATTCTCACTATATTTTTTGCCCCATGCATTTTTTTGATCATTGTTAGATCATTTCCTATCCTTAGTCTTAAATCCAAAAATTCAAATACTACGCACATAATTTGAATGTTAATTAAATGTTATTAAAACGTAAATGAAAGTAGTTGTTTACTTTCATTAACTGAAACTAAATACTTAATATTCTAAATAAAAAGAAAACGTAACTCACTTAATAGAAGAAACTCATTTAAACTAACCAGTTAAAATTGTCTGAAATAACCAATAACGAAAAGAGCACTTTTTAAATTGCGGATGAGATTAATTTTCATATTTTAAAATGCTTGTTTTTAAATTTTATAAAGTAAATTTATTAATTTAAAAAATACAAATAAAAATAATTCCTAATGTTAATCAGACACTTAAATATTTTTAGTCTCAGGAGAGAGATTCTTTTTTTGCGCCTCCTGCTTCCAAAATGTAACTCATATAATTTTTTAAAAATTTTTATTTCGTAACCGTCGTTGAACAGCCGACCCAATTTTTGTGTTTACGACTACTAATGTTCAACTCTGTAGCTATGTAATTTTGAACTCAATCCAGAAATCAAGGGAACTCCTGGATCAAGTGTTAGGAGAAATTTTTTTTCGTGGAGGATTTTTTGGTGAAACTAGCCCATATTTGCGTTACATGGAGAGGAAGACCACGAGAATCTCCCACTGTTAGCATGACTGTAAAGGAACTCTAACCTGTCAATCCATCCAGGCCCATTTTAAATATTTTGTTAAGCTGTGTTGGCCCAGAGGATAGAGCGTTCGCTTTCCGAAGAGGTGAGCCGGCTTCGAATCACAGCGATGACTGGCCTACACGAATTCCGCACTCAGCTCACACCGACCACAGTGCCATCGTAAAATATTCTCAGTGGTAGACGGATCATGGGTTAGAGTCCCCTTGCCGTCAGGATAACCGTGGTAGGTTTTCGTGGTTTTCCTCTTCATATAACGCGGATTAGTTCCATCAAAAAGTCCATGAAGGCAGATTTCTCCCAATACTTGATGCAGGAGTTTCCTTGTCTTCTGGATTGGATTCAAAATTACAAGGCTGCAGAGTTGAACATTAGTAGTCGTAAACCCAATATTGGGTCGGCTGTTCATTGACGGCTATAAAATAAACTAAAATAAAATGTTGTGCTTGTCTTACTAGCCGTGATGACTTAGGGGATATAGAATTTGTCTCTCAATGAGTTGAACCGGGTTCGAATTCCAGCAATGGCTGGTCGATACAAATGCTGCATTCAGCTCGCACCGACCTCAGTGCTGACATAAAATATCCTCAGAGCTAAACCGATCATCGGTTAGAGTCCCCTTGCAGTCGAGCTAACGTGGTAGGTTTTCATGGTTTTCCTCTCAATGGCATGCAAATTCAGGTTAGTTCCAACAAAAAATCCTCCAAGAAGGCAGATTTATCGCAATACTTGATCCAGGAAAAAAAAGCAAAAATAATAAATATTTACTGAATAAAAAAGCAAATCCATTAAATAAAAAAGTAAAAATAATAAATACTTACAAAAATTTATTTTTTACATTGACTTATCTTTAAATAAACTAATTTTATAATTGCGTGCAAATTTTTTTCTATTTGCTTAAAAAGTTCTAGAGTTTTGACAAAATACGCCAGATATAAAATTAACATTAAGGGGTGCAAACTTTGAACCGCTCTCCTGAGCAAACTATGGGGACCAAATTGCGGCTACTTCCTATATTTTGGGAGTCAAAAATTCTAATCCATCTAGAAAACAAGGAATGTTTATTAAAAAAAAAGTGTGTTTTTGTGTCTGATTTTGTAATTTGAAATGTCGTTTGCACTAATTAATTAGGAAATTTGAGGTCACCTTTTCGAACCATTTTGAATAAGTCCTAGAACGTAAAGATCCGATCATTTTATCAAAAATTATTTAGGGTGATCCGTTTCTCATTTTACGCCCTACATTAAATGTACAGAGTTAAATAAATAAAAAAATGAATAAAATTCTGGTGGTTAATGTTTTTTTTAAAAAAATCGGCCCTTACTTTCTAACTAAAACTGATAAGTACACCGAGCCGCCTAAGTTTTTTTACCATAGTCATCGCTTCTCTGGCTATCTCTAAATTTTGTATGAACTCTAATTTCTCCATAATGAACTCTCATCTTAGAATAATATAATTGCCCGTGATTCTTCGTGAAAATGTTGTTTTCGTGACTTATTCCTCAAGGTCGGAAGAAACCAGATCTAAAAAGGAAAGATTTTACAAATATTTCATATTCGAAAATGAATTTTATTACGACCTATATAAACAAACAAATATCCTTTTAAAGATTTTTATTAGAACCTTTATGAACAAACATATATCCTCTTAAACTTTTTTAATACGAACTAAAGCGTTAACATCCGATCATTAGATCAAAAGTTATTCAGGGTAATCCGCTTTTTCCCCTCATTGTACATCCAGAAATCTACATTGTCCAGAAAATCTACAACATTTTGAGAATGATGTATCTTTATAAGAAAGAATAGATAATAATAGATCAACAGAACTTTATATTAAAATTTTTCGCATGGCAATAAAAACCTGATTATTGAAATATTCCCGATCGCAGTGCTCGTATACCCCATCTGGGGAGAAGACCAAATACATGTCTTGACTCTCTCTTTTCTCCTTTCTTAATATTTTTCGTAC